TCATTACATAGTTTCGATCCCACAAGGATCTATTGTCGACATTACACAAAAGATGACTCAAAGGTATTAATACCTAATGATAAGCAAATTCATTAAATCCAGTTGCTTGAATTCCACTACATTTGAGTACTAACCTTGATGTACTGGTTCCCTGTCCTCTTATTCACATACACGCCAACTCCAGATGTTGCAATACGCATTTCCCTTTCAATTTTTCTTCTGTCACCAACATTGAGTCTCACGTCCTACATATAACAAACTAAGTTTGACCATTATGCCTCATTCACACACATCTCTACACATTAAATGCATTTACTTGTATACCAGTCCTCTATTCAGAGGACAAGTTCTTGCGTTGTGGGTGGTAAGGCCACATTTTGAACAATACACTGCCCCCTATTTCTGCCATCATAGTTTCTAGGTTCCTGGCCTAAAACTCGCGCCCCTCTAGCTTAGGTATTTCTCTCCTGCCAGGTAACAAACTTGTTAACACATGAGACAAAATTAATTCAGATCAAATAAAGAGTCGAACCTTACCACCACAAATGGGGCAACAGGGGGTGTTTTGCAAGATCTAGCATTGTGACCCTCTATGCCACACTACGAGCAGTGGATCAGATAACCTCTTGATAGCATCGTATTTGCACATGTTTGCAGTCTTGTTTCCTGACCATTTTCGCTCGAATTTGTGGTTTCTTAGCCTACTTTACGCTAGGTTGTGTTGTTTTGTCGTATCTCAGGTCCTAGCGAGTAAAGGGATGCATAGGCGCAAGTTTTGGGTCATTTGGAGGTCAGTTGGCAATTCAAGACACAAATTACGGGCATCCCCTGCACAATTACGGGCGTAATTGCTTCTGCCCTGACCGTAAATGCAATGCCGAGCCAAACCCTTGAGAATGTCTGCCGTAGAGCAAATTACGGGCAAGAGCGGACTCATTTATGGTCGTAATTACACAACTAACTGGCAGTAATTGGGTAATTACGACCGTTATTCCCTTCCTCAGAGTTAAGTGAAACGCGCGTTTTGGGTGAAATACGGGCAGACCATGTTTACGATCGTAATTCAACCCGTATTTCGCCCAGAATCGCGTTTTTTAGGCAGTTTCGAGCCAAAGGAGAGGGAATCGAGTTTTTGAGCAAAAAATAGAGTTTTAGAGAGAGAAAGTGCGAAGAACAAACCCTATGAGCTATTTGGAGTGGATTTCTCACCATTGAATCCCATATTGCATCCCCGGCAGTGAAGATACATCCCAGAGCAGATTATCCTCGTCTTTATGAGTATGACTACTCTGATTTCTGTTTTCCTCTCTGTCTCTATGGAGTAGAACCTTCTCTCACTTGGGTATGAAGAACCCTAGTTCCATGTGTTAGGGATCTTGATTGTAATGACTTGGGATTGTTATACTGATTGATTATAATCGATTGATGCATGATTCATTGAGTCAATTGAAGTCTGATCATCTTTTCTTGATTTCTGCTGCAACCTGAGATAGATAGAATCTGATTAGGTTGTTAGAGTTTCATCAATCGGTAGTGGTAGATTGGTTATACGAGAGTTAATCAATTTACTACTTTGTACTGGAACCAAATTCCAGTAGTGAAGTTATGTGCTTATTGCCTCAGCAGTCTATCCCGGTGAAGGTTAGTCGCCTGCCGGTTAGCCTGCCTGAGAGGGCTTAGTCAGCTTAAGAGATTCCAAGCTACTGTTGGATCTTTCGCAATTTAATCAACAGTTAATCAGCCCAGGGTAATTACAACCTCGACCTAACTAAGGAGCTAGGGGGACTCATTCCCGAGTGACTCTTCCCGTGCTAAAGAACTTTGAACCATTTCCTGCTTTCTTACTGCTTTTAGTTAAAATCACAATCACTCGACTTAGTTTGCTAGATAATAGATATTCACGAAGTATGCAGTAGATCTAGACCCCGGGTTGACAAATAGAGCTTCCCACTTAGTGCATTTCTGGACTGCGATTACACTTGGTCGTAGTTTGGTGTTGTGTTTTAGCGTGTCACCTCTCCTTGTAACCTCTTCACTCGTCCTGGTCCTTTGGGCCCTAGTCTCCTCCATCTCATTAGCAGCCCTTTTCCTTTTCTTTTTCAGCTTGCCTGCCATTGATATGCTTTTGGGAGGGTCCACAGGGTATCCCTCAGCTGCAGGCATTCTTGTCTACCCTCAAGGAAAGGTAGCACATAATTGTATGTGAAACCAGCCATATACAAATGGTAGTAGGAATGGACATAATCGTCCACGTCCTTCCTTAGATGGTTGATTGCTGAAATGGCATGATAGCATGAGATGCCACTTAGTTGCCAGTAACCACAAGAGCACGTTCATTCATTGAGGTCCACTATAAACCCTTCAACCCCCCCCCCCCTTCTTTACCTCACACCTTGCATTGAGGGTTGTTTAGGTACACATAGCCTAGCCTCCTCCTTCCTCCTTTCCCCTTTCAACTCGTTTCCTAATACTTGGACACAGGTTATCATCACACTTACCCAACATTTCGGACTTAATCACCACCATGTCCATCATGTACTGCCTAATACCCTTCAACATGTCTAAAAAATTAAGTCCCCTATACTTAACAATGCTACCATTCCAGGTCTCACATATATTGTTCTCAACCGAGTCACACTTCAACAAAAATTATAGGAAGGCACGACAGAATATACGAGGTTCAGCAGCCATAAACTCTGTATAAAGGGTAAAGCCATTACCTGATCATTCAAGGGCCTCCATTTCGGCAGTTTCTCGCTTCCAATATACTTCGTTACACTGCATAAACAGCCTTCCAAAAAAACTTCCTAACATGATCACTCTTGTTCTTTGCCTTCCAATTGGCATACACATGTCGTGCACATTTCCAGTGCTCGGCTTTGGGCAAAATGGCATGAATGCCCTCATCTGAACCCTACAGGTGGTAAAGTTACACGTCAACACAATTTTAACAGCTCAAAACATAATTTGAATAGAAGGAGAAGTGCTCTAATAGAGTATACCTTCTGTTGGTCAAAAATTATAGTCCAACCCCTTCCAACATGAAATGCCCTTCACGATCTCGTTTCTTCAACTCGACAACATAGCTTCTCAGCTTCACGTACTCATCCACCAAAGAACCACTGAGCAACTTGATAGCTTCCACTTTAGCCCTATAACAAGTTATGTTCTTGACCTCCATATTGTGCTTTAGCTTCACCTCAACCATTATCTGATACGGAGCCCATTCAGTAGTTATCCTAAAACTTTCTAGCATGTCAGTTGCTATCCACTTCGCAGTGACTTGGTTCACTCGAAGCATCCTTGAACAAGTATGTGGCAGCCCTACTTTCCTGATCATAAAGTTCGTGTCCTTCCTAAACCAACTCGCATACAATCTCTATTTACAATTGGAAGCCTTACACTTCACCTCCCTCCTATCAGGGTTACTCCTAAACCACCTCATACTTGCTCCTGCTGCCACAGAATGTCTAACAACAACATCCTTGAATTGCTCTGGACCCTTGAACTTCATCCAACACACGAATTGCAAGGTTCTATGGTCACGACTTGGATCATAGTGTGGTGCATCATCGTACATCTCTCCACCATCATCATCAGACAAGTTCGGACGCACATGATCTGAATCTTTAGACAATCTGTAAATCGAATGATTTGAATTCTCACCACCAGCTTGCTGTGATTGAGGTGGAGGATGGTTGGATAGAGAATGATTGGAAGCCTCTACCCTTGGTTCCTCTCCCCCTGCAGCCTCTCCATCACGACCATCTTTATTCTCTGCATCCTCTTCACTATCAGTTTCCACTTCTTCAAATTCGTCAAGTTGGTCTACCTCTTCCCCATTAACAGTCTGGTCTTGAGTGCACCTCCCTTCTCCTCCTCATTTCACCATATGCTCGTAAGTTGTCCTTGCTTCGTGATATTCGTCATCGGAAGTCAATGCATCATCAGAGTCGTAAACGTGGTACACCTCCCTTGCAACCGAAGCTGCTGCCCCATCTTCTACTGATAGGAGATCGTCTTCTGCCCCAATCTGGTTTGTGACATTCTCACCATTACCTTCCTTCCATGAATCTGCCATCTGCAAAAATTCATTCTTTATGTCATTAACTACTAATTAAATATTACTCACTAATAAACAAATCAAACACATACAACCAACAAGAGATTAAAAAAATTAGGGAAATCCACATACAACCAACACAAGCACGAGAAGTGGAACCTTTTATAGTTAAATGATCATTATAGCTAGAGGTCTCAGGTGTTCACCGTCTTTTCATGGGCAATCTCGTCACAAAAAACATATTATAGTCCCTCGAAGAACTTGGGATGTCACTTTCCACCTTTCCAGCTCCCTTCAACCTATAAAAAGCGAACACCCACTTCCCGTTAACAAAGCAAGCTAACCATGCAAAGAACAAAACCATAGCAGTACAGAAGGAATCACCAGTCGCAACAACCCGAAGATCAGGGTTTCCGTCAATCTATCAAGCACCACGATTTTTAGGGTTTCCGCCGATCTATCATAGCCATCGTAGTCGGAACCGTCAGCCGATGCTACTTGTCGGCCGGATGCATGGCTTCTCTTTGTCAAGGATCGAGCACGGAGGGGGTCGGTCGAGACTCGAGAGAGAAGGAGATGTGGTTGGTGGGTATAGATGAACGAAAATGGGAAAGTGATTGGGATTTCTTTTTCTCTCTTTTTTACTTTCATTTTTGTTTCATTTATTCATTAATTAAAAAAATATGAATGCTTTCCACGTGGCAAGGACGCAAAATAAAACACACCACATCAACTATTGTCGTTAGTCCAGTTAGCGGGTTAAGTGAACCGTAAAAGAATTGGACGGAATTGACTATATCTATGTATTTTTCAAAAAGTGGCTATATTTTTCAAAATCGTGAAAGTTATTACTATGCAGGTGAATTAAGCCACAAAATTTATAATTTATAATTTTTTTTTAAGAGAAATCAATTCTTTTTTTTTTTTAACAAATCCCCTAATTCCGAGTAATATATTGCGCTGTTACTTGTTAGTTGATAAGACTGAAGGAATTACTTGAAAAAAGTTGTTAATTATTTGATGTGATTATGCGAAAATTTAGTTACACACATGAATATAATACACTTCAGAGTTCATACAACAAGGTGTCCAGCGACCTTCCAGCCCTGCTACAAGCTTCACTAATGGGCACAGCAGGATCCGACAGCGACCCATCCGAGATCCGATCAGCAACCCACCGATTTGCAGCTTCAGTGTAATGCACATTGTCCCAGCTGATGTACTTGGAAGGATCTTTGCAAGAAGTTCCATACACAACAGTACCATCCCTCAGCTGACCCTTCTTCCCACACATAACCTCATAATCATCCCCCAAATGGCCACAACAGAACCCAAGTGGGTCTTCAAACCCTGTAAATCCAATCCACAAAACAAAAGATAACCACTCAACAGTCGAGTACCAATTTGAAGACTGATCGGGTTCGAATTAAGTTGCATTGCTTTCGTGTGCTTTACCGTGCTGTTCTGCTTGGCTGATGAGAGAATACTTTGCAGTGTAGATGTCGACGAGGATGAGCAGTGCGTCAGGGAACTGGGTTCTTAGCTTGTAGACTGTCTGATTAAGTTGTCTGTTGAACTCTTGAGCCACTTGGTTGAAGGACTTAACGCAGCCAATTGGGTCTTCATTTCCAGGCTTTGGAGGGTACCTAATCACAAAGAATGGCAAGCAGCCGATGGGACCTGTGTTGTGTATCCAAAATGTTCTTGCTCCTTCTCTGTACAGGTTCTGATACAGAAAATAAAATCCCAGTGCCGACAAAATTCAGAGGCTTGTTTAAGGAAGTTGTTGGTTAACCTCAATTTTTCGCGGTACCTTTATGGCTGAAACAAAGTAGCTGATGACCATAGGGATGGAAGAAAGGGCTCCTTGCTCGCCGCCCAAGTCAGTTAGGCCAAAATGAAGATCATTCTGGCCACAGTCCAAAGTGTAAAGAGCAGCTCCGAAATCTTCTGGTTCTGGCAAGCGATTCACAGTAGTCCCTCCTCCTGAATCACCCCACAGATGAAATGAATAGGTATCAAAGAATCTCACAAGGTCAACGAGAAACAGTTTACTGCTTTAACTACTGACCACCTGTTTCCTGCAGCTCAAAGGTTCTATCTTTAAGCTGCTGGAACTGCAAGAACTGGAAATCCAGAGTTATTGGGTTAAACCCCGCGTCGAGCAACTTCCCATTGGTGTGCTGGATGGTGGCTCCACTCGAAGCGAAATTGGCGCCGTGGGTGAAGTTGGATTCTATGGAATCGAGGAATGAGCTCAAATACGGCAGCCCCAGCTTCTCAGCTGCGCCCAAAGAGAAGAAAGAAATCAGATGACCAAGCCGACACGCTGACATACGTTCCAGCTTTACGGATGGATACCTAAGAAATCGATGATCAGCCGGCCGTCAGAGTATCGACCCGATGGTTTGCCGAAGAAAGTCTCGCCGTTGGGCGAGTGGACTGGTCCGAACACAGCCGGCTGGCTGCCTGTGTCGGAATTGGAATCGCCTAGGTTGTACACAGCTGGGAAATTGCAAGCGGAAGAAGAGGTGGATGGAAGAAGCAACGAAGAGAGCACAAGTGCCCAAAGTAGGAGAGCCATTTGTGCGAAATGGCTAATATCGATGGAGTTAGCTATAAATGAAGTGGGAAAAGAGTCCCTGTTTCTCGTGGTGGTGGATCATGGATTACGACCCCTGCAGTTGGTGGCCCCTTCGTTTTGTTTACTAGCTTGTATTGTATATTTGTATTGCAAGTGGTCTGCTTCAAGCAACGAAAATAACAATCAGAGATGTCGTCAATAAAATAAGCCAACACGCAGGTCTATAACTCCTAATCGTCCCTCCAATTGGTTCGTCTGAGTAATCATTAGAGTCGCAATCATGAAGGATCAAGTATAGACAGGGATGATTGAAGAAACGGAGCTGTGAAACCTGAAAGCTAGAAAGAGTCTGTAGAGTACTTTGCTGTCAAGAAAGCACACAATTGAGAACAGGGGCTGTAAAACAATGAACTTCACAGAATGGCTGTTCTAGAAAGGCATGCCAAATTACAGAGCAGATTGAATTCCTTGGAAGAAAATATCTGACAAAATCAAGTAGGAAAACTAACCAAATGTCTGACAGAGAGTATGTTCAATGAAATATTCAAAAGGGAAGAGTCCTCCTTCCTACCTACCAACAAATACAGGCTCCTTGAATCATTAAACACAAAAAAAAAGACAAAAATGTTGGTGGTTGGTGGGAAGAAAAGATGAACAGGGAGGGGGCTGGCTGCAAGTTCTACACAGTTTTTGGGATTAGAGAGACAGAGAAACAACAGACTAACAAAAAAGCAACTGGGTCTCGATGCTGATACTCAATGATCCTTGCTCTGTTTCCCCAGAGCGCCCACCAAAACAAAACAGAAAAAGAACAAGAGAGAGGAAGGGAAATAAGTGAGACGATATTATTTGGTTCTGCTTGTCAAAATCCAATGACCTGCTCCCAAGGAATCCCTCTAAACCCCATGCAAGTCGCTGCTCTCACCATCTATCCCTTGATCTTGGCCTGCAATAAGGGAACATATCATCACAATTTGCAATCAGGAGAATGAATGAATTCCTGGTTCAAACAACCACCCATTACCAAGCTAACCCTATCAAGATCAACTAGTTCCAGTACAAGAGATCGAGAAAAGATAGATAAGAATTTCTGCAGCATAATTTCCACAGAATTCCCGTATACGGGCAGCAGGTGCATATCCGAGAACAGTGTCAACAACAACATGCAGAGTCTTAACTGCCACTGAAGACGTATGCATAATAGATGTGCTTCTAGTTCAACTCCCTTGCAATGTATCAGGTTCTAAGAACTGTACTAAACATGCAAAATATGGCTAGTGCCACTATATGAGGTGCAAAGACCGAGAATAGATAGACATTCACCTGTCAAAGTCTCTGCTACCCAGAAATCCTCTTTCCCTGCCACCTTGATACGACCTTCTATCATCAATGGGCCGGGCCCATGTATCTTGTGCACCACGTGAGTGAGGTCTGTCCATAAACTCAGTACTCCTGGCCTCATCCATTGATCCAGTTCGAGAAGGAGGTCTGTTCTCATAGAAACCGCCAGTCCTACCTGCCCCAGAACCAGGCCTCTCGTTATGTGGTTTCTGACCAAATCGAAGCTTGTCATCCAACTCACGAGTCAATGTCTCTAGTTCCTTCTCCTTCTGGCGTATTACATCTCGCAAACTGGATTTATCATCCCCATCGGTGACCTGTACAGATTCCTTTTTGTTCTCTTCCAATGAAGCTTCCTTCTGGAATTCCTGCTTTAGCTGATTTATTTCTTCTTTCAGCAACTTTTCCTCTTCTGTCTCTGGTCTGCAGAATCTCTTAGAATTAGGTATGGCAACAGATGGAAAAGGTAGCAACAAAGTAAGACAGGCACTCGAATGAGAAAACGAGGATAACAACAGGTGCTATGAAAATGCAGCAGTATTTTAATTGATAACTGCACAAAGTGGGCTCGAATCACAACCTTACCCATGAATGAAAGAGGTGAAAAACTACTATTATCCCAAGAAATGTAGAACACCATTTGTATACTATAAATTAGAACACAAAAAGCCTATCTAGTGTAAATAAAAGAAATGTGTTCATCATGAGATGCAGAAATTCAACCACAGACATTCACTTAAAAATAGTGTCTAGACTAAAGGAACAGATGAGCTGCTTCAAGCTATAACTTGAAAACCCCCTGACAAACCCAGACAGATGTGACCACCTGAATCCTAACTAACCATGGCCCCACTACTCGAATCAACATTCTGGTTCAGGGTACTTCAGATGAATATGGGAAAATCTATGTGTTTGGGTTAATATGACTTGTTTCAGGCGTTAACATCACATCATATCATAGCAAGCAAAACATATCCAGTAATTTCATTGTAGCTTCATACGAGTATCTATGCTTTTAGTTTGTGATGATGACTTGTTCATGCATTAGTACATCACAGAATAAGAAGCTAAATGTATTCGGCAATTTCTTGGTAGTTTCACATGAACATCTAAACTCTAAGCTCACATGATTTCTTCGCGTCTCAATACAACATATCATATGCTAGGCTAAACTTACTCTTAGCTTCTTTTTTCCCTCGATGGCACTTTAACACCGATAATTAGAATGAAGTATAGAGGACCGAAGTGACATAATCTACTCTAGATTCTGAACCAAAACCACCAGGAGGATGGACAGGTAAGCAGGCCATAACTCTGACTAACATATCATATGCTAGGCTAAACTTACGCCTTAGTTTCGTTTTCCCTCGACGGCACTTTAACACCGATAATTAGAATGCAGTGTAGAGGACCGAAGTGACATAATCTACTCTAAATTCTGAACCAAAACCACTTGGAGGATGGACAGGTAAGCAGGTCATAACTCTGATTAATGCCATACAAATGCAAATAGCATCCCATTCTTTTCTTGCAAGTCTACCACAAACAATGTAGATATTTCTTATAACTCCCCGGACTAAAGACCACCAAAAAAATGCTAGAGCTTTCAAGACTTTCCACTAGCGTGGACATTCATTGACAACCTTTTAAGTTCTTCCCGCCTCTTGCAAGGGGCAGCATTAACAATTGATAAAATGAAAGGCTCAGTTATTACAGACCTTTCAATACTGCGATGCTCCAAATCACGATCAATTTTTCGCCAGTCCTGCCCTCTTTCTTGTAACAACACTTCTCTGGGCTTAGCATCCCCAAAGGGGTTCACCTTCGGTCTAGCTGGTCTCGCCAAATTTTCCAATCCCTGCTGCAGCAACCCAGCAGGAGCAGCCTCAGACCTACTGGAATGTGCACTCGAAGGCCTGCTAGAATGAGCGCTTGTTGGCCTGCTTGATTGGGAAGAAGTCTTCTTTGATTCAATATCAGTTTCGAGCTTCCTCCAATCCAACCCTTTCTCGGCCAAAACTTGCTCTCTCGGCCTCGCTGCCCCAAATGGGTTTGGCTTGTTCGTCTTGATTGCCTCGGTAAGTGGCTCAGTCACTGCCGTCACATCGGTTTTGGGAGGATTCAAAATCAATTTCGGTCTCTCCGTCGCCTCCAGCTCACGGATTCCTTCCCCTCTAGTCCACCGGTCAGGCTCCGGCCCGGAGGTACGGAACCCGGACCCAAAGTTCGAGGATCTAGAAGGAGCCGCCGCCGGCTTCTTACCAGAAGCCCAGTTATCCACTTCATCAGCCCTAGAGGCACCTCCCATGCCCCCATCGCCACTCCCAAGCGAGCCATACCTACTCTGACGGCCAGAATCCATCGACGGAAGAGCCTTCTTCCCCATTGCCCAATTGTCCACTTCATCAGCTCGCGAAGGCTGATCGAAATCCGAAACCCTAGAAGGCGGGCCGCGCCGTTCGTCATCGTAATCACCGCCATACTGCCGCCTCCCAGCGCCCCCAGCACCCCACGACCCGCCATCGTTGAAATCATCCCGGCCCCTTCCGGGAGGAGGGCCGCCGGAGCGGCCGTAACTGGAGAACCCGCGGGTACCGTACTGCATTTCTTCCGGGTCGCGCTCGCGTGGGCCGGTGGGGAGACGGAGCATCTCGTCGGGAGTGAGTCCTTTGGACTGGACGGGACGGTTCAAGGTAGCGCTAGAGACGGAGTAGAACTCGTTCAGGGTCATCTTCTTCTTCTTGGGCTTCGCGGTGACGGATTCCCGGAGACTAGGGAAGCTCTGGGCGTCGGCCGGTGCGGCGGCGGCGGCGACGGATGAGGCTGCTGCGGCGGCTTCCATTTCCTCTTCCTCGCGCTCGGCCTCGGCGGCCCAGGTTCCGATGTTGCCCCACGGTTTCGACATTGGGGAGTGATTCGAGATCTGAACAATGGAAGAAAGATTAGGGTAAGAGAAAGAGAGAGATGATTTGATTAGAATCGAGAGAGATTGGAGAAGGAAGGGATTCGGGTAGGGCGATTAGATCCGAGCTGGGGCTCCGTTAAGGGAGCCGGAGCTCCGAGAACATGCGAAGGGGAAGGGGAAGGGGAAAAGGAAAATAGTAGAAGAAGAGAGGAAATGGAAACGACGAGCGAAGAGGGAAATGGGAAGCAGCGCTTGTTTGTTTGCTTGCTTGCTTGTGGAGGAAAGAGTGGCCGATTGGTTTTTTCTTGTTTTTCGGGTGTGGGATTGGTCCCTTAAGTTACTGCTGATTCACGTCATGGGAAATCCCAGAGTACCCTAGTAATAAAAAAAAATGGTGAATTAAGGATCAACAACGAGGGAACCATTCACCGCTTTAAACGAAAATGGTGAAGACATCATTGTTTTAATAAAACGCGGTGAAATATTCACCGTATCGATCGGCCACTATAAAAGCGACACGGATTACTGCGTGGACAAACACGAGTTATTCACCGTATTAGAAATATTCACCGTATCGATCGGCCACGATGAAAGCGATGCGGATCGCTGACGTGGACAAACGCGGTGCATTCACCGTGTTAGACAAACACGGTGAATAACCTGCGTTTATCCACGTCAACGATTCGCGTCACGGATCCGCTCACCGTTGTCGTTGGATGCGGTGAGTCGCGGATTTTGGTTTTTTTCCAGATTCGACGCCTCACAGCGTCCCACGTCACTCGATCCGCGCCCTTCACCGTCTTCGATAAAAGGCGGTTTATTCACTGACTTTGTCAAAGGCGGTGATGGTGCAGTGGCTGTTTTAACGCACAACCTTCCCCTATAAATAGAACCATTCCCTCCTAAGACAAATCACACCACCACATTTACACTTCTTTCTCCCTCCATCCATCCACTCTAGTCTCGTTCTAAGTATGCTCTGTGGTTGCGGACTTGCGGCTAAGTCCGATCTTCCACATCAGAAAGAATTACTAGAGTTATACCCTAAAGCCCCCGTCCCTTATAAACCCGTCAAACCTATGTCCGGCTTCCGCCAAAAAATGGACGAAGAGGCTCTTCGGGTAGGTTCTTGGTTTTTCTTTTGTGATTTTTTTTAATCGAAACAATTTGATTTTGTAATTTTTTTAATCAAAACAATCTGATTTCATTTTTACTTTTTTTTATAGATGGGTGCCGAGATATACGATCCTCGATTTTATATCCATTATTATGGGCCAAGAGATACGAGGTATTTAACCGATCAAGAAGCACATCGCTCCCGTGCAATTTGGGACAACAATCCGGTAAATTGATGATTTATTTTGCTTTATTTTATTATTTTGTAAGGTTTTATTTGGCTTTCTTTTAACTAACAAATTGATGTTTTTCCTGTTTTTTTAGGAATCACTTATTCCTATTATTCATAAAGGGACTACAAACCTTCCCGCTTGACATGATCGGTTGGCGCCGTATATAGAGAGGACCGGGTTGGGTATGCTGAGGCATTTCATGCGGATTGAAATCGACAACGATCTGCTTACGGCAATGTCGGAGCGATGGAGCCCCGAAAACTATACGTTCCACCTTCTGGAGGGGGGAAATGACGATCACCCTCAAAGATGTCGCGATCCTCACCGGGCTGCCGATTTCTGGAGAGGCCATCATTGGTACCACTACCAAACCAGAAGGAGGTTGGAGGCCGCTCATTCGTGCTGAATTGGGATTTGACATGCCGACCACCACACCAATTCAAGGACGGGGGGCATCCACCGTTGAATGCGGGACAAGTGTCGGTCTCGTGGCTCGTAACTCACATCCAAAATGAGGTGGAAATCAATGACGAGACTCCGGAAGATCAAGTAGAGCGCAATGCACACATCTACCTCATTGGTTTGATGGGTGGATTTCTGTTCCCCGACAAGTCAAACAGGTGGATTCAAGGCATATGGTTGTCATTGCTCACTGGTGACTGGGACGCAATCGGGGAAAAGAGTTGGGGATCGGCCGTGTTAGCTGGCATATATAGGGAGCTCTGTACTTGCTTGAAGGTGGGAGCGAGACAAGCTGGTGGGGCGATGTTCATCCTCCAGCTCTGGGTATGGGAGCAGCTTCCAATGTTCGCACCTCAAGACCCAGGTCCATACTGGAGAGCAGATGATGAGCTACGGTTTGTGCAAAATCTCCCCTATGGTGCCAAGTAAGTTTATTCTGTACTTAGCTAGATTTAAATTTATTCAATGCTTCGGCATATTTAAATTACATTTATTCCGTACTTAGCCTAATTGCAAATTTATTCCATGCTTAGCTAGATTTAAATTACTACCTATACGAACTTAGCCTAATTGCTAATTTATTTCATGCTTAGCTAGATTTAAATTACATTTATTCCATACGTAGCCCAAATTTAAATTTATTCAATGCTTTTACTTACAAGGTGGATAGGAGCAAATACAAACGATCATCAATCTGAGCACTCTTTACTGTTTTATCGTTCTGAGTTAGATAAGCCTTGGTGGAACCAGGTAATCATGCTTTATCATATTTTAACAATTTAAATTTTTTCAATGTAAATGTTCGCTAATTGCAAATTATGAATGAGTATAAGTTACATGGGACTCATATCCACGTGAAGTAGTCGAGCTGTATTATTTGAGACACCCCTAGGATCACGGGACGTGGTTGTGCAAGATGCCATTGATCTGCTGGCACATCTTGGAGTGGCACCTACCCGATCGATTCTTGAACTACCACCCTCTCCGTAACCTCCTGTATAACCACCTCCTTCGTAGTTGCTCGAACTACCACCCCATCTGTAACCTCCTGCAAAATCATCATCATAAGAATACCGGTGAGAATGAGTTTCAGCGACCGCCTCGGTCTCAACATACACCTCTGCAAGCCGCATCCCGTTATCGCTTAGGAACTGTAACATCATCGTCACCGCGTCATCATCGTTTATGACAACTTCTTGGTACACAACCCCGCCAGCACTCACGTCTGGATACCGGTAACTAAATTTACCAAGTCTCGTTTGCCCGTTCGTACAAACCCTATCTGCACAAATATCACAGAGTTCTTGAAAATTGAATCGCAACTCAATTTTCAGCATAGTGGATTCACCGTCCTCATAATCAATCCCTATGTTAGAGTTTGTCACCCTTCCATTCTACCGAATAATAAGCTGAAATTTCTTGAATTTACCCATATCTACAATTTACAATAAGTAACTATTAGCTTAATTCCAGTAAAATTAACCAAAACCATATTGTACGACTAATATTACTCCATCTCATAACTTACATAACATAAATTCAACTAACTAACAACAGCATAAATTCCCCAACTAACATAACATATTTGCTACAATAAGTAATTCATATAACAATATAACTACTAAAAACATCATTAGGCTACAATACAAAATTAAATCATACCGAAAATTCATGTTCTGTGTATGTTGCTCAGTTTTGGTTGCTGAAATTTGAAGAGGGAGAGGGGTTACGTTTTTACAATTGCTGGTGTGAGTGGTATTTATAAGAAAACCGGCCAGCATTCACCGCGTTTGTCTCCAACGGTGAACACTATCACCGCGTTGCCCTAAGGCGGTGAATATTAGGTGGTTGTGCCCTAATTTGAAATTATTTCCCGCTTTGCCCTAAAACGGTACTTATTCACCGTTGTCAACAAACACGGTGAAGTCTTCACCGTTTAGTTTAAACGCGGTGACTTATTCACCATTTTGCTTAACCACGGTGAATACGTCATCGTTTTAAATAAAAACGGTGAATTGTTCACCGTGTTGGTATGATGTAGTGATTATGTTCACTGCGTTAGACAAAAACGGTGAATGTGAAACATGTGTATTTTGGGAATTTTTTTTATAACTTATGTATTTTCAGAATTTTTTAAGTACTAGTGTACTTTGGGAATTTTTCCCACATAATGGTCCCCTAAAATTTCTATTGTTTATTGATGACCGAGGACAGGTTACGGTGATTACTATAAATTACCGAAGACAGGTCACCGTGGTTACTAATGGCAAATTGGATATAGAAAAAATTATTAATTACCTTTTATAATAAATTATATTTTAGGAAGTTACAAAAATATATTAATTACAATTTTCTCTCTTGCTCAATTTTTTTTTTTACAAAAGATAATCATATATTGATCAGAGAAAAGACAATTACATCCTGGAATTGAGTCAGCCAAAAAATCAAAGAAACGACTTGCAGACGGGTACAAAAGAAGGGTCTTCCTAGCCACCAAATAGGCTACCCTATTATTACACCGACCTACAAACCTGATGGAAACCAACTTCATCAGGGTTTTCTATATTTATTATTATTATTACTAATAGGTTAATTCTTATTATGGTTAGTAGTCTTCTAATCGTATTAGGTTTATTATTAGGGTTTTCCTATCACTTCCTATAAATATGTACTTTGTGGTTTCATTATAATCAGTCAAGAAGAATATTAAGAAACGATTTCCTAAACCCTATTCTCCCAATCCTCTCAATTCTCGTTCCCAATCCCTCTAAAGGCCTAGGCCGATTCCCTATCTATCTTTCTCAAATCCCTAATTCTGTTCTTAATCCCTAAATCCCCAATTCCCGATAGAACCCTAATCCCAGGTTCTATCAATTGGTATCAGAGCCATGGTCACGGGTTTGAGTTCATCACAACTCTCACCAGGGAATTGTTATCAGAAACCCTATCACACGTTTGAAGCTCTCCAAGCCAGTTTAGCTAGGAGGGAAGCTCACGCCGACTATATGCTAGCAAGCCTGAAAGAACTTCGAGCCGAACTCGAGCGCTATGCGGCCCGCCGTCGCGCGACCCGCAACCAGCCAGAGGCAACATCAGAGGCCAGTCCAAAAGCCCCTGCCTTACCTGCAGCAGCTCGGGAAAAGGAGACTTCCGACACATCCCTTGCTAATACCGCCGATGAGAAAGAAGCGACCACCGAAAAAAGACCACCTGCTGTCGTGAAACCATCGCCGATGGTCATCACCGTCACTACACCGCCATTCCCTGCCTTTGAGGGCCCTGAACCAGGGATGCCCATCGTGGCGGCACTGACAAGCAAGAACCCGAAAAGCGTCGCCAGTGATGGTGGGAAGAGAATCCCCGTCTGCATCGCAAACCAGAGATTCAAGAAGAAAAGAAGACCAAAGCAGAAGGATCTGAAGACGATGGAGATGTTGGGTTGGCCTCCAGATCGTCGGACATGGGGTTTCCTGCCACAGAAGGAAGATTTCGAGGAGAAGTTGAAGAAGTCGTCATCAGGGGTGGAAGAGAAGGTGAAGAAATGGAATAAGAAGAGACTCGCCGCCATGGTGACGAACTTGGGGGCGGAGCCCGGAGCCAGAATCGACAGCGCACGCGGCGCAGAGGGTTCGGAGCGTCGAATCGCGCACGAAACGCCTCGATTGGCGGCGTCTTCTGTCGCACCGCAGAGTGGAGGTGAGGCGAAGTCGGGGGTAGATCTGGTGGAGGACTCGCCGATGGAGTTGGAGGCCAGGAAGGAATCGGGCTCGCCACCGGAGGACGAGAAGAAGAAGAAGGGAGGCGACGGTACGACTCGTCGTTCGGCGCCGGAAATGCAGATGAAGGAGGAGATTCGGCGGGAGGAAGAACCGAGGGAGACTGGCGGAGCGGCTCCGATCGAGCGATCGACCACGGAGGAGTCATGGCGGGTGATAGGAACGTCGATTGGGGAGAAGCCGCTAGCAGGGCTGGCACTCGGCGTGACTCGTAGCCGCCGTGTGGGCTGCTTGACGGCTGAGGTTGACGCGTCGACGACGAGTGGCGCGCTCAGAGAGGAGATGCCGCCAGAGGACGGGTCGGCGCTGAAGATGCCGGAGGGGTCAACTTGGCAGCCGTGCCATCGGCATAATGGCGCATCGCTGATAAATGAAGCGATGAAGGAGTGCGGCGGCAACATTCCTCCTCCGAACCCTAAGTCGGCCGCATCGATCCTCGCTGCGCAGCAGCTTGCGGAGTCGGGCTGGGCCGAGCAGGCCGACTTCGCCGTGCTAGTTTTGGCCCAATCAGATCATCAGGGCAGGATACGGTTTGAAGTTGGGTTGCTTGTTCATGGAGGCCTTGTGCTTCAAATGAGGCCACTGGTCAAGTCTTTTCTGTATGGTTTCGGGCCAAGACCAACAAGCCCAACTGCTGAGGAAGAACACAGGCTGCTAATGAAGAAGAAGTTGGACGGGCTTCTTTTGAACCAGCTGAAGGAGGCCGAGTCTGGGCCAGTCTTTGGGCCCAAATTTGAAGAAACCAGGCCGCGTCCTCATGGAGAAAGTGAGCCCAATATGGGCTATATTTTAAAGTATATGGGCATGGAGGAAATGGGAGATGGATTAGCTAGTGGGCTTTCAAATGAGTTTAGACCCAACTCACTTAGAGGAAAGGAGGGTCACAAGGGAGAACAGTTCTCCGATTCTTTCTTTATTGATTTCGACAAAAAGGAAGAAGACCTGTCAAGCTATGGAGGACGCGACAGGTGTCACGTAATTGGAGAAGAGCCAAGAGACATTGAAGTTGCTGGAGAAGAAGCCAATCATGAGATTGACCGCGATTGGAAACGAAGAAAGCGGAAGGTCAAGGAGATGGAATTTAGCTGCAACCTTGAGGACAAGGTTGGTTTGAAGGGGGAGGAGATGATGGAAACCAACTTCATCAGGGTTTTCTATATTTATTATTATTATTACTAATAGGTTAATTCTTATTATGGTTAGTAGTCTTCTAATCGTATTAGGTTTATTATTAGGGTTTTCCTATCACTTCCTATAAATATGTACTTTGTGGTTTCATTATAATCAGTCAAGAAGGATATTAAGAAACCATTTCCTAAACCCTATTCTCCCAATCCTCTCAATTCTCGTTCCCAATCCCTCTAAAGGCCTAGGCCGATTCCCTATCTATCTTTCTCAAATCCCTAATTCTGTTCTTAATCCCTAAATCCCCAATTCCCGATAGAACCCTAATCCCAGGTTCTATCAAAACCACACACTAAACCCGTTATGGTTAGATAAGCAATGCATAACTTCATCCAGCAGGGCTCCAATCCGGCTATCTCTGACATCAGAGTGGTTGAGCTGTTTGATTTGGGCCCAAATGTACACATTTTACCCCTCATTTATTATTCGTTTAGCTTAGTAGATCATCGTGACTCGACATATTTCACGCTAGGTTGTGCTTGTTTTGATACATTTAAGGTCCTAGCACGTGTGGAATGTGATATGATCCCAAACGGTCAACTATACACGTTTAAATTACTTGACGAAGAAGCTATCAAAGTTGGGAAGAAGAAGGGCATAATTTGGCTAAGTCAAAATTCGAGTTCATGGTACCTACTTTGGAAGCCTGTATCTCAAAAATGGCTGGATGACAATTGGATTTCAAGGGCTTGTTTTGAATATAAAGTTACCATCTTTCCAATGGTATGTTTTTTGATCCAGAAGATATCATTAAGATTGTTTTCCAAGGCCTCAAAGTTGCTTCCTCAAAACTGGAAAACTGCCAGAAAATGGTTAAGTCTAGAAACGTGTTTGTGAAGCCTACTTAGGAGCTCGATTCGAGGAGTATGGATGTGATTCAAGTCCAAAGACTTCCACAATATGAAACTAGGTATGTTTATCTACCAAGTGAAGGAATCAGATGAAAGATTGGAGTTCTGGAAGGCCTCGAACGAAAGGCGTGAAGTTAGTACGTAAACTGTTTTTCGACTGTTTGCTGGCAGCTTACTTGTGCTTCAAGAAAAGGAGGTTTAGTCCGAATTTTGTGTCCTTTTTAGAGTAGTCTTTTAATTTAATTTGTTTCCTTGTTAGTCTAGATTTGTATCAGGTTTTCTTGGCTATAAAAACCTTCTAGTTTTCGTTGTAAAAGCAGAGTTGATTAAATTGAATACAAACCATATGTTTGAGTTCTTGAGTTGCGTCTCAAGAGTTTACCCATTGTCATTAGCTTCGAGTGGATTCCTTAGCTAATTACAAGACCCTTGTCAAGCTATTCTAAGTGGATTCCAGAATCGTTTAGCAAGTTCTCTTATCAATCGATTAATCACCTCGATTGTGGCGAGAATTCTACCTATTCGTTTAATTTTCGTTGGAGGGTTAGAGCTGTGTGAATCTTATCAAAAGCGCCCCCTGGTGCTTTATCCGAATGGTTGATGGCGAGTTTCGGGATAATTGGTGGTCAAAAAGCGCAAAACCCGAAGAAAAGTCCGAAGTAACAGTGAAGTGCAGACATCCAAGAAACAGCCGCAGTTCACGGTCGGACAAGGCAGTTCACGGTCTCCTAAGACCGTGAGATGGAGTCACAAACCGTGAACATCGAGCAGTCCAGCGAGGTTTCAGAGCTTACTGACGCCAAGCGAGTTTACGGTCCTTAAGAAAGTGAACTGGGGCCATTAACCGTGAACCCAAGAGAGTGAAGCGGTGCATTTTGGATGACACTGAGTTCACGGACGTGTTTAGGTGTTCACGGCCGTGAACTGGCCAACGCGTCCGTGAACTGGGCACTTTGCGGGCAAATATGAAGACAACAATGGGGAGAGAGAAAGCAGAGCTGGTTTTTTGGAGAGAAATTCAATTCCCTCTCTAGGGTTTGCCCAAAAACACCAAAGGGGAGTTCTAGTGAGTGAGAGAGAGAGAGAGAGCGCGCGCTAGAGTGATCTTGGAGCATCATTGGAGGCTTTGGTGGATCTTGAAGACAAGGATTCAAGCCTAGAAGAAGAAGAAGAAGAAGAAGAAGAAGATCTTGAGCTCAAATTTGTAATTCCTCTCTTCTCTCTCTAGAGACTCACTCTTTTCTCTTGGGTGTTGTAAATTCCTCACTAATACTTTGTAATTACTTGTTTAGATTGAATGATTTTGTATGGGTTTGCATCAATTTGAGTATTAGAGGTGTTTTCATGGTGATTGTGCTTAGTTGTGCTTTCCAAATCTTATGTGCTTGCCTAACCTAGATTGGAGGAAAACCACACCTTTTTAGGTAAGCTTGACAAGCTTGGTTTTCCTTGGCACTTTGTGCCTACTATCTAGGTTAGAGATGAGCATCCTCCTTGACTCAAGTTTGCATCTAGGTTGGTTGTGATTAAGCCGCTCAAACTCCGGTTTGAGGGAGAGACCTAGGCAACCCCTGGAGACTGAATGAGATGATCGATTCCGTGACAAATCGATCTCTAGTGGATCCATACCGTGACAAATGGATCACTATTTGCTCCTCCTAGCGGTTCCCCTAGACTTTGGTGAGTGGATCGATCCCGTGACAAATCGATCGCTAGTGAATTGATTATGTGACTCCATTCAATCCAGCGAGTCATGGTAGCTAGTTAAGGGGAAGCAACTCCTGGGTGAAGTTCCCTTAGTTAGAATTTTCCTTTATTTACTTTTCTTTGGTTGTTTAGTTTGTAGTTCCATTAGTTCTAAACACAAAAGTTGTGTTACACCCCGCTCTTTACAAAAGTTAAAATGACTATTATGCCCTCAATGTAATTTGTTAAATTACACCGTAATATTGATGAGGACTATAAATATGGACTCTCGATACAAACGGTGTTGAGTTTCGACATAAAATGAGGAAGTTATAGACATTAAATGGGTTTCGGATTAAACTCACTCGATACCAACTAATCGGAAAATTCCCAAAACACCCCATGGGTTTATCTAAAATTTCCCTCCCGGCCTTTTCACCACAGAGCATAAAATTAATCTAAAACTGTAGTTCCCAAAACCGCAGCAAACCCTACCTCTCCTCCACCCAGGACCCGCTCAACCCTCTTTATACTATGACACCTACTTGGTTCCAAGTGGCTCTCTACTGTGTTCACGAGGCGGCCAACCCCCTTCCCTACTACTAGACCTGCTTGCTTTAAGCAAGCAGGAGGACGGCTCTCAAAGCGGCGATGACCAGCCTGCTTGCACTCTCTATGACAGCAAACCAAGCAAGCGGCATTATCTACTCCCTCTACAACGAGAGGTTCTAGCTTAAGCAAGCAGGAGGTGGCTTGCTCTCGGGAAAACGAACAGGCACCCACCTCGGCAAATCAAAGCGGCGCCATGGAGAAGGGACGCTCAATAGGGGAAGCAGGCAGGAGGTGGGAAAATCAAAGTGACGCTATCTACTCCCTCTACTACGAGAGGTGATAGCTCAAGCACGCAGGAGGCGATTTCTCATCCAGAAAATCACCCCACACAAGCAAGGTCCTTTGAAGCAGGACCATTATTCAAGCAAGCAGGACCATTATTAAGCATACAGGACGCCATGATTAAGCAAGTACGAGGTGGCTTGATCTCTGCACACGGACGGATGACGAGGGGTTGTTATTGCCAGCGGCCGCCAATAGCGACCAAAGCAAGCTGGTCCAACCAAGTACGAGTGTAACATTTGGAAGCGAGTATGGAAACTCTGGAACAAAATCATAGCTAGTTCCGACGGAAGTAAGGTAAGTGTAAAGGGGGTAAATTCTACGCCTTACGTATTCTTTTAAGTATTATGATTTTAAGTATTTTAGTGAATTGGTGGTTACCGTTGCTTGGTTATGTTTATGATTGATTATTTGTGCTTTGCTTGAGCTATGATTTGAGGTGATTTTGTGTTATTTGAGGTGATATGAGGTGATTTTGTGCTATTTACCTTAAAGCGTGATGTTTGAGTTATTGTTAAAGTTTAAGAAACAAGTTCTTTTTAAGAAGTAACTCACCTTCAAGAAGGTGAAGTCGTTTTAAGTGTTTTTAGTCACTAGCGCCAGTCCGTTGCCATTTGAGATTTTCAGATAGAGCAGCAGTTATGCTCTTGAGATCTTTGAGATAGAGCAGCAGTTATGCTCTTGAGACTTTTAAGTAGAGCAGCAGTTATGCTCTTGAGAATCGTGGTGAAGAGCCACCACGATATGTTTAAGATGTTAAGGGGATGAATCATTACGACTCCCCTAACTAAGTTTAAGTTTAAGGAAAGCCTTGATGGCTTCTCATACGTATGAGTTGGCAACCGGACTAGCTAGTGGGGGATCCCAGTGTCAGTCAAGTATTTAAGTTGAGATTTGAGCTTTAAGAATGGAGAGTAACAGTAACTCCCATTGATGACTCGATATTTGCATATGTTTTCACCTTTGTTTCTTGATTGTTTGAGCTTTAATTATCGTGTCTTTGGCCTATTTTACGCTAGGTTGTGTTCCTTTGTCACATTCCAGGTCCTAGCACATAAAATGAAGCATATGCGCAAGTTTTAAGTCAATCAGAGATCAATTGGCGATTAGGGAGAAGAAACTCGGGCATGACCTGAAGAAGAATTGATTTCTACCTCACTTTATGGACAAAGAATCATGCAAGCTTGTCATGAAAAGAAAGAGGACGAGACTACGAGCGTCTGGGATCAGAAGTAAAAACACGGGCTGGCCTAAAGAAAAACACGGCCGTGTCCATATTTAGGCACGACCGTGTTTTGGCGACGAGGGCTGCTGGGGGCAAAACACGGGCAGGAAAATGTAAAAAAAGGTCATGCCCTCGACCGTGTTTTGCCCAGAATCGGGTTTTTGAGGCAGATTGAAGCCAAAGGAAAGGAAGAGCTGGGTTTTGGATCCCAAACACCCAAGGGACGAACCCTAGAGAGAGAGAGCGACTTGGGAACATTCTTGGAGCTATTTTGGAGGATATCTTCGCCATTGGAGCTCGAGAATCAAGCTTGAAGATGGAGATTGAAGATCTAGATCAGATTTCTGCAGTCTCTCTCTTCTTTATGGAGTAACTTCCCTTCACTTAGGTTTTGAGGAACCCTAGCTATGTTTTTTTGATTGGATGATTATATGAGTACTCTGACTTGATAACCTTGAGTTCATATTCAATCTATGCATGTTTTCATGATCCAATTCTGCTTTAGTCGAGATTATTGATTCTACTTTGATCCTATGAGAGAGAATACCTGATTAGGTCAATAGAGCACCATAGATTGATAGTAGTGGACCGATTGCTTTAGTCGAGGGTTGATTCGCTGCTTTGTATCGATTGAGAACCTCTTTCGATAGAGGGAGTCTAGTTCAGAACGCCTTGATCGGTTGTTCTAGAGAAGGATACGTCCCTCTAGGCAATTGACTCAAGAGGGCCTTGTTCCTTTAGTCGAGACTCAAGGTCTAGTCAAGGATTCTCCGCATTGTGAATGAAAGTGAAACAGGTTAGAGATCGTCAATCATTAATCTGGCTAGTGGCTAGGGGGAGGCATACCTAAGTGAGTTCCCAACCTGTAATTAGATTAACTTTAACTGTAGTTTGTTAGAGTAGTTTTCGTTGTTCCATCTTAATCTGGTTTGCTAGATAATGAACTGAAGCTGAGTAATAGTAACTCTAGAGACCCGTGGATTCGATATTTATTACTTGAGCCACTATACTGCAGTCACTTTCATTGGTTACACTTGGCCATTGTTAGGAGTTGTGTCATAGAGAGTCACCCATACAGTTTTAAGAGTTAGGAATTTTAAGAGTGGAAGTACAAAAACCTTCCACAAATTTAGGTAAGTGTTTTAAGTAAAGTACTAAGCAGTAAGAATTTTTAAACGTAAGGGCGTAGACTGACCCCATCTCACTCACCAGTTTGAAGAGCTAGAGGAGCATTTTAGTGAGCAACGAATTCGAGGGCAGGCAGCTAGAGGAGGGCAGTATAAGCGTCACAGAGGATGCTTAGTCAAGGTTTCAGTAGCAACAACATTAGAGATTATTAGTTATTTACATTTATGATTATGAGTATAGACTGGAGATCAGATTGAGATTTTAAAGTTTGAGTTTAATTTGCCCACGTGTTAGGGCTTTGCACCGAGCTTCAAGTGTGTTTTCAGTATTTTATTTATGAAATTTTATCCCGCTGCAATTTAAGATTTGAGTATTTTATTTATCAAGGGAATTTTAGTAAAAGTAGTACCCGTCCGGGTTTGGGTGTTACATTTTGGTATCAGAGCCGGTCTTCCTCTATTCCTTGGTTTACAAGGAATACTGGAATGTCGGTCTCAGTTTTAAAGGCTTTTGTTTTAAAGGAAAGGAAAACGAGTCAAGGATCTTCTTTTAAGAGTTTATAGAATCTCCAGTCTACTCTGATCATATTAAGGTGAATAACTATGACAGCACGACACGAAGGGATGGTAGGCCAGGGTGCGATTGTTTAAGAATAGGCTAGGACGCGATTTAGTTAACATGTTGTGGTTTGTCATATAGTAGATTTAGGCATATGGTGATCGCAGTGAGAAAGAACGGATGAAAGAAACGTGACCAACCCAAGTAGAATCTCAAAGGCTCTCAAGACCAGGTATCTCATCGACATGATGGATAGTAGTTTTTCAATTAATTAACCAACTGCTCGGACGTTAGCAAACAGATCATCATCATCAACCTAGAGAAGGAAGGAGGAACGTTGCAAAGGTCT